GGACATGTCATGTGTTGAACGTGTGTTTGTAATTTAAAAAACAACGAAGCTAATGAAGCGGATTCAATGTATTTATTCCCTGGACTGAAGTGTCTGACGCTGGCATCTCGCCGAAACATGTAACACTATTGTTACTTTTGGATCCGTATGACAGGTAATAAGAACCCATTTGGTTATTATTGCAGTTTCGGGGCTATGAAAATGAATAATAAGCATACCATTATCCTAACAAATCAAGGTAAGAATAGTTCATCTACATAAAGAAATTTGAATACGGTGAAGATATTTCAGGAACACTAAACACATAAAAGGCTGTAATCGTTACTCGATTAAAGATATTAATTTGCACTGAATCTGTTTTGTATTATCAAATAGCTTATTTTTGATAACAGTTAGTTAATAATGGCTTATTAAAAAAATACGGAAAGAAAATAAAAGAAACGCCTCATAACACTTAAAACATATATTTACGCTTATACTGTTGTTCACAAGACGGTAAATATACAAAAAAGATGGTAAGTGGTGATCGATTTCGATTGGACACTCCAATCATAGATGAAGTATCAGACCCGTCATTCGCCTATTGGGTCTGATGATGATTGTTGTGTAAATTTAATAACACGTACAATGCTGATCAAGAAGTTATTTATTAAAAAAATAACAAAACGTAGTATTAAGTTTGTTTTACTAATTGAAGATATTTATATTCTAATGATTGACCTCTACGCAATAGTTTACATAACTTTACCCAATAAGGAAAATCAAATTGTTTGTTCTGTCATTCAGTTTCTTTGAATAGCTATTCAAATTCAAACTTCAACACCATTAAAAGTTAAATATTCATTTAAGGATGTAGAAATGAAAAACGAGTACAAGTCAGACAAACTTAGTTCATTAGTATAATTTCAAGTTAATCTTTCGTTCACTACTAAAGTTAGTTATTGTATAAATTTTTATCGTCCTAGAGCAATTGACATTCTTTTAATTTTGTTCCTTAAAAAACCCCTATTTTCTTAAAGGAAATAGTTCTGATAAATAAGTCAATTATACAAGAAGTCCAAACTGCTGCCAATCTTTTCTTTTGGAAGCTGTTATCAGCTGTAATTCTTTTTATTGAACCGTCTATAGTTAAAAACAAAATAAAAAAATACCTGTTATTCTGAAAAATTATACCACCCCCCCCCCCTTAAAAGACCTGTGTCAAATGTTTATGTCTGATAGTTTGATTCCTTAGTGAAACAATATTAAACACTTTAAGATTGCAACAAAGTATTGTTTTCACAATTAACTGCTCTTTTTTACACCCTCTTAGCCCAAGTTCAGCTTTGGCAGTTTAATACAAATAAGGTAGATATTTTGCGTATATTAGGCTATGCTATATAATGTCATACGGTAAATGCACTTTTAAATAGTTTAAAGGTTTTGTTTTATAAATTACTTTTCGTTTTAGTTTAAATTAAATTAAACATTACCTGATTATAGGACCCTTTTTAACCAGAAGGAATGTAATAGTCCCCAAAGACAGCAAAACAAAGTTTACTCTAAACTAAACAGATATTCCATTTTCATAAAACAAGTGAATGCAGTTATTCAAATATGTTGTATATACCTTGAGAGCACAATCTTAATTGAAAATGCACTTTAATTTAATGTGTACAATGAAGTCTTTGAGTGTGAAATCCTTTGTTTGAAGAATCGTATAGTATGTAAACCAGTAAAATTAGACTGCGATTTAGTCACTATCAAGACTACAAGATCGCGTCACTCATGCTACACTCATCTCGATTCATACTTGACTTAAAATATCTACTTTGTATGGTCACTATTTCAATTAAAAGTATTGTGGAAATTTTATTGGTTTATAGAAATTTCATGTGGCATTATTTATTAGTTTTTACCATAACTGCAAAAGGGTTTCAACAGATTGGTACACTTTTTATGATTTGGATCCATTACTTTGTATAGGTTTAAATGTACAATAATAAATTTAGATTAATTTATCTGTATATGTTATTGCCTATAAACAATGTCTTTTATTTGCTAAATTAAAAGATTGGATTTTTTCTGAGACAACTTAATCCAAGAGATGCTAGTTCTGCCTGTTTGACATACAACAGTTTATAAAAGGGGAACTCGTGTCAATGGTGACAATTTACTTAGTTACCGATCAATTAATGGATTATTTACTTTTAAAAATTAAAAGTTAACGTAATTATTATAAGAAATTATTTTCAATATTTTCCAATGTTTTAATTCAAAACGGTGGAAAGTTATAACCAATTTCAAAATGAAAGAGAGTAATATAAGTCATACACCAAAACGCTGAGAGGAGTTAAATGTACGCCACGTGAGAAACCTTTTTCCTTTAATACCTAGAAATTTGTAAAATATCCTAATATTGTTTTCGTATAGTTTGTAAAATAATAATATATTGGTGAATAGATAATAAGATAATTAGGGTAGTAGGTACAGTTGGTACAAGGAAAATAATGATGTTGTTTTGAAATTCTGAATATACATTTTTGTAGCAAGATTAAAATCTTGATATTAATAATGAAATTTATTACCTAAAGTGTTTCAAAGGCCAGAAGTGTAATTAACCTTGTAATAACGAATAAAGTAATTTACTTCGAAATAATGCCTTGAGGGTTCTTCTGGTGTGGAAAAGAGATTTAAAGTATTCTCTGCAATTGCTTAATTATTATTTCATCCACTTAAAAAAAAAGTAAAAATGTTATTTTTATTTAAAAAAAAGTAACATTTTAACTTACCTGGAAATAATTTAAGTTTTATTTTAGGCCTATGTACTAAGTTAGGGTTCCATTGGATTCACGAAAAATCGCACTAAACAAAGATTAAAACTATCTTAAAATTACGAAAACAAATTTTGTAAATTGTCTAAATACTTAAATTAAAACAATTTATGGTTGTCTTTTTGCATGCAATTGCTTAAAACTTTATTATTTCATGTCGAATAGAAACATAAAATCTAACTAGTACTTATAGCTGCAAGAATTTATCAAATTAAAAGTAAATGGAAAATGTAAAACTTTTAAGTGAGTTACTGGATTGATTATGGAGTATTAATTTTTCATTTAAAATCAGTGAGTATTGTATTTTTTCATGATGATTAACTATTGTTTATTACTCGTCATTGCAGTTCAATTCTGGGACTCGTTATTAAATTCCCAAATCATTCAAAATGTATTGTAAAGAAACCTAATTGTGATTTATACATTAACTCTACATATTTTTTTAGAAAGGTTTGCACAATATATTACCACCAGTAAGCAGTAAATGCTGACCAAAAACGGTGAAAACTAGACCAAAATCAAGTATGCCCAATACAGTTTTATGTTTGAAACAATGAAACTCTTTAGAAGTTAACATTCATAAGCTTGAAACACATACACGGATAGTCTTACGTAACTAAAAGTTTCAAATTTGAATATCTATCATACTTGATAAGTGATGTTACAAGTTTCCAGCTGGAGGGTGGGTGAGGGGGAGTGGGGTTTGGGGGAGAGACATCCAAGTAACAATTGGTAAGGTAATCAAACCCTGGTGAAGTCGCCACTTTCCATGACGTGCTTCCCTGTATCTGTTACATCCACTGAACATCATACAACTCTGAACTTGGAGCATTCCATCTTCATATTATTGTCAAGTACTATTGAACTCACTTGTCTTATACACAATGTGAAGTAGATAACATGGGTTTGTTCAATTATTGACAAAATTATTATGTTGAAAATTTAAAATATTTTATATATTTTAAAATTGGAAGTTATTCAATATAGACAGGGCATACATTTCCTGTAAGACCTGTTATTTATTTTATTTCTTAGCTCACAGACGGGTGGGCTTCTAACTAACCATAGTATTTGATCTAGTCTTTGGTGAACTGCGGTAGTTAAGTTCGGGCCGTCACGACACAAGTCCACTTTCTAGCCACTAAACAATCTACAACACAACTTCTAATATATTAATCAAATTCTCGGCTTGAAACTCTTATAAGGTCTACAAATCGTTTGTACATAAGTATAATTATTAGGCATAAGCACAGCGCAATTAAAATTAGCCAGTAAAGTCAAAACTACAGTAGGTCAAATTATCGAATAGTTCCATTAACCTTAATCAGTATGGAGTAGAAGATATTCCACTAAACCAAACAACATGCATAATGCAATTTAATTATTTAATTTTATTTAATTTATTTCATTTAATGCATTCTTTGGAATTATAACTTTACCGAAACACTTTTGTTACGAAAAGCTAACTATGATTTGTCGTTCTCTTCAGACAACTTAGTCTTTTCATGAAGAAAACTTAGGCAGTTTGCTTGCATAACAGAGCTAACAATACAACTTGGAGTGTACGCAGTGAACCTCAGTTCCTGACTTTAAACGTCACGAGACTTACTGTTATGCTTAGTCGTGTGTTATACCCAGAATAATACTTATCAAAAGGAAAGTACTGTAAAATGAGTTTTATTTTGGTAATAATTGATTGATACATATTTTGTATGTAAAATATGTTGACTTTGGCTCATTCATTTTGCTTTCCTTTAGTTTAGACTTTTGCCTCCCTTTTAAAAACGGAAATTGCGATCCATTATGAAATATGTTATGCTGTTTATTTATATTTCTTTTACTAATAAATATTTAGTTAATGAAAGTAAAATTGAATTTTCCATGTTTAAACATGCATCAGGCAAGCCTCAATGAAATCAAAGCAAAATAAATTAACACAAGGCAACACAAACTTCGTTTTCACAAAAACACCTTTTATATAAATAAAAAAAATTTACTAAGCACATTAACATATATTTATAGTGTAGCAAAAACACAGATCGTAGAATTCAAACCATGTCTTAACCACCTTCTTTCTTTTTTAATTAAAATATTTACTATCTCTTAAATCTAAACAGTTTGCTTAGAAAAATCACGAAATACAAGTAAAAGGGATACAACCATTTACAAAACAAACGATCGATGTACCTGGAAATGTGGAAGATACGAAGTGGTATGTGCCGCTGCCAACTTGTCCTGGAGGTTTGCCAGGATTAAAGAAGACGGAGAGTCGGTTGAAGCTCTCCTCATCAGAGGGAAGTCCTAAAGATGAAACCTCCTCAGGCTGACCCAGGATCTCTTGGTCAGTAGGGATCTTGTTGTCCTCCATAGTCGGCATGGCCAGGGCGTCTCCCAGCAGCAGGAGTACTAGCAGCACTGTCTTCATCTGTAACAGGATAAACTTGTTAATTAGTGTTCTTTGTAGGACTTTTAAAGGTTTCCTTTCAGCGAATTACCCATATAGGGAATAAGCTATTACCGTGGGTCTCATAATAAGATCTAGACCCGGGAATGATTTATTTTTTTCGTTTTGAGGTCCCCAGAGGCCAAAAACACCATCAGTTCAATTTCATATATATATATTTATTTATTTATGTGTCTGTTAGCACGATAGATCGAGCAAACATTGATTAAATAAAATTTGGTTTTAACGTGTAAACCTACATTTATTCGAACAAGTTCGCGAACCAGCATGATTGGGCCATGGGAACGGGGGTTTATGGGGGTTTTATGACCCTAAAATCATATAATTTTGCAATTTATTTCAAAACCATTTTGTAAAACTTAAAAAAGAAATAATTTAGTATATTGAAGCGCTGTTGTTTGACTAACGGTTACAGAGCAAATGAAAAAAGTGCAATTTTATAATTCCCATGTTAGTTTACTTGTTTATGGCTATATGTTAATCAAATTTGGCAAATTTATTCATTTCATACTACGTTATTAACGCTTGATGAAAAACACTTTTTACCTTCCCCATAGCAGCAAACCTAAGCACTCATTAAATCTTATGTTATTTAAATTGGGAATAAATATATGTCTTATTTATGGAAATATTTGAGTAAAAATTTAATCAGACAAGTTGAAATTCGCTTAGTCTGCAGGTTTGCTGTGGCGGGAGTATTCGGCTATTCATTGTAAAGGAATATAAATTTGTGGTGGTATGCTTAATGTGGGAATGTTGCTGGAAGTCAACAGTCCCGGAAGATCAAATAATTTATACCTGTGCCGCTAGGTCAAAAACTACAATGTTTGCAGTGTCTGTAGATCAAAAGTCCCAGTAAGTCAAATAGTACAGTCCGAGCTAAAAACGTGGTCTATGTTAAAGCAATTGACTTATTGGGAATTTGACCTAATGCAACAGTAGTTTTAATATAACAAAATACGGTAAAATACAAGTTCAGTTTCGCTGAGTCAACAGTGCCGGAAGATCAAAAGCAATAAAAGTGAACGTCGATTCAGTGTAAAGTAGACCTCCTGCAACGCTTACTACACCAACAAAACTCGCTTTTAGTTACTTCGTGTTTTGTCATAATTAGAATAGAGCTAAAATTATCATATTTGCTACATAGGTTATCTATTCATGCTTCTTGCCAACTGTTTGGTCAACACTGTAAATAGGTATAGTTGATGTAATAAAAAGCCTTTCGTCAAAATTTGTGGCATGAAAAACACGCAAGGACGATCTGAAAATTTCTGGTTATTAAATACGATTGTAAAAGGAGATCCATTTAATTTTAGAACTATTTTATGAGTTATAATGTAGTCTACACATAAAATGTGTAAATGTATTACGCCTCGGAAGGGTTGAAACCTGTCCAACTATCATATATATTATTAAAACGTAAATGGGGGTTTTTCACATTCTGAATCAACCAGTCGACGGATTTTCATTATTTTTGTGATGAAAGAAAGATAATTTTGAGAACTAGGGAATGTCAAAGCCATAATTATAATTAAGGGTCCCAGTTTTTTAGAAATTAAGTTTTAATTTTTAAAAAGTCTAGCAGCCGACGCTAACCTTCTAAGCTAGCTTTTAGTACAATATAATTTGCTTAACATAACAGCTGTAAACATTGTTACCAATGCTGGACTAGGTTATGGATTTGGTTCCGCAAATGTTCAAGATTTGTGATCAAATTTCCTACAATTATGGTTCATTCCATCCACGAAAAACATGCACAGCTTTATGTGGTCGATATGGCCAGGCAAAATTACCCCATAAGTTAATGAATTATCAAGTAAGAACAGGATGATTAAATACATGGGTCGATGTGGCAAGAGAAGGAATTAAAATTGCTTAGATCGAAGTAAGAATGTTACTGCTATCTGGAGAATCAGATATTTTTATCAAATAAAAAAAAAAACTTATTTAAATGCTGATAAAATTCTGTATTTTTATGACCACAGATGAAGATTTACTTATAAATCTGGATACAATCTGAATGATGATCAATAAATATTGACTCTTTCCGTAACATGATAGACTAATTATATGAACTCATTCTCCCATATAGTGAAAGTGGCTTTGACATGAAACAAACTCATGAACAAACAATTATAAAGACTCCTAAAAAACCTTTTGGGCAACCTAAAGCCGATAAAAAGGTAGGAAATATTGTGTTAAACGAATTCAACAATCACCTTTTTTAGGGAACACAATCGTCATACTTATTATTATGCTTATCCCCCCTTCATTTAACTAAGATTTTAATGACTTCACTCTATCTATCGCAGTTAGCTGAATTTACATAAAACCTCAAGATTAACCGTCGATTTCGACGGGGTTCCACTAGTGGCAGATTAATTAAATATGCATAGTAAAATAGTAGGATGTTCAAATTATTTTTTAAAGGGATCTTTGTAATCATCGATTTGTTTTAGTCCCATATAATTTGTTTTAACTAACAGCTGGTTGAATGTAATATTGTTCTATATAACTATTAGGTTTTTGGCGAATTTCCCATATAGGGAATAAACTATTACCGTAGTACTTATAGAAACACCTGGACCCGGGACCGATTTAATTTTTCGTTTTGAGGCCCCTAGAGGCCAAAAACACCATCCGTTCAAATTCATATACAGGGTGATCAACTCAAGGAGGCCACCATCGGGAAATCGGAAACGGTAAGAATTAGAGAAAACTTTAAATGGGGGACATTCCTTTATTTTTTGTGGCAGTTAAAAATATGATTTTAGTTTTTTTTATCATGTTTTCGGATAGAATATGCAGTTTAAAAACGTTTTTAGCCTTGACATTTTTTCGATAAACCCACTCGTTTAGGAGTACAGCATATGGAAAAATGACTTCCGGTGTACATTTTACATCATGTAGCTCCTAAACAAGTAAGTTTAGAGCAAAATTGCAAACTGTAAATTAGTCTTAGAATTGCATCTACATTCCTTAAAGACTATAACATAAAAAGTTTTCCACTTTTCAAGTTTGCCGCCATTTTTTAAATGGCCATTTTTTTATGGTCTTTTTGGAATGTGGATGCAATTGTTAGACTTTTTTACTCTTCGCATTTTTGCTATAAACTTACTTGTTTATGAGCTACATGATGTAAAATGTACTAAAAAGTATTAGAAGTATTAAAAGTATTACACCGGAAGTCATTTTTCCATGGGCTGTAACTCCTAAACGAGTGGGGTTATCGAAAAAATGTCAGAGGTAAAAAAGTTTTTAAATTACCTATTCTATCCGAAAACATGATAAAATATAGGGTTTTCCATAAGAAATTTCATATTTGGCCAAATGGCGGATGAATTTCAAAAAACTAGATACAGTAGTCACCACCCTATGCGACATATTCTAACCAGAAAATTGTAATCGTATGATTCTATAAGCATTGGTAGGATTGCAAAGTACTACACAAACATTATTTCAAGGGTAATAACAGTTACAATTTCCGCTGACTTTAAAAGAGTCAACTAAAATATTATACTAATGGACACACAACTAAATGGAACAACTAATGGAAATACTCACGATGTACATATAACAGTTCGATATAAGCATTGAGTGTACACGTCAGTAGATACGTGTATACCCAATGACCCCCAATGATATAAGCAACGGTTCTTGCAATTTATTGCTTATTGTTTTTTTAGAGTTGTTTTCCGGACTTACTCACACTCGTATAAGGTTGTCCACGTTTGTCATTGATAATGTAGCCATGTTACACCCATTATCACGAATATGTTTACAAGTTTTCCGTCTGTTTTTGAATAACAATACATTTTTTCACATACTTAAGAACCACCTGATTTCGTGCATTACATGTTCGTCTCAATTTGATTTGCTTTAGTAGGCATTCTTTTGGTTGATGAGGACTTCAATCGGTCCTTTCAATGATTGCTCATGAAATATAGTACTTTGTCCCTTAATTTTTATTGTTTGGTAAAATGGATTAAATTATCCAGCAAACCCAAATTGAAATAGTAAATATAGTATTTCAAACAAATCAGTAACATGTTAATAATGTAGCCTACATTATATCCTTGAATTGCATAACAGCAACTAATTGAGCTGATCCTAATATAAATAAATCAATATGTTCTTCATAGGCATAACATGGGTTCTTTAAGAGCCACTGGGGCTGAGCCCAAGGGATTTAAAAAATGTAAGGTTGGTTTGCAAATGTATTTGACACGCTCTTTCTAATGAGACATGAATGGTCAAAATCGCCTAAGAAATTCGGAGGAGTTCAACGGAAAAATTTCGTGTTGGCGTTATACAGTATGGTTGAAAAGTCCTGTATTGGCTATATTTTTTAAACAATATAGATAAAGTAGTGAGACTTGGTATATCAATAATAGCCATAAATATCTACTGTCTTAAGCTATTATCACTTTTTTATCCCTTAAGGGGGATGGACCACAAATACTAAGACAACATTCTTATATAATTTTAATACTATTTTACCTGTTTTTGAAATGCCAACCATACAAATACCATACAGCTAAAAATAAGTGAAATAGAAAAGGTTTTGGTTAAATCCATTTAAATTGTTATTGGACACTAGTAAGTACTAGTGCACTTGCTGCTACCTCCCCCCTTCGGTTTCATGTATTCCTCTCAATCAGTTCAAACCTAGGAGGATTAAACATTAATGTTAATTAATGTTAAATCCAAAACAACCTGAAACACCCAACAGCCTGTGTTCAAACCTGAAACACCCAGATCGAAACTCGCCTGTCGTTATTTTAACATCGCCTTTTTTTTACTATATTTTTCAAAAAAGAAAGATTATATTGATTTATTTTGGATTTTAAAAATGTGAAAGTTTTATTTTATTAAAGATTTATGGTGATACGTAAATATTGTGGTGTAGTAAAGTATATTATATTGTAGTTAAGTGTTAAGTTTTAGGGTGAATCGAGATG